GAGAATTATCCTAGCACCCTGTAGCTGCTCTCTCTATTAAGATATCTCTTTCATTGCTCTTCCACTGCATCCCTCCACCCCTCAGCCATCCCACTTCCTCATGTTCTCATCCACCCTCCCTTACCACCCCCATATCATACCCAGTTTACCCTGTAGATCTCATCCAGTTTCCTTTCCCAGGGTAATCCATGTGTCCCTGCTAGGGTCCTCCACATTACCTAACTTCTCTGGAGCTGTGGATTGTAGTCTGTTTATCCTTTGCTTTACATCTCCTATTCACTTATAAGTGAGCACATACCATGCTTGCCGTTCTGAGTCTGTGTTAACACACTCAAGGTGGTTTTTTCTAGTTCCATTCATTTACTTGCAAATTTCATGAGGTCATCATTTTTTACACCAGGTGGTATTTCTTAACTTTTCATCTTGATGGTACTTAACTCATTCTATAAATCTTAGAATATGGTTATGAGTGATACTGATAAAATGGGGACAAAAATATTTTTCACCCTTTTTCAAAGCATTCAAATGTCTGAAATTTCTGGATCACAACCTAGAGTGTCTTCTAGAGTTGAGGGAGGTTTATAAAAAGATACGCACATGCAATGCTTATGTGTGTGTGTGTTTGTGTGTGTGTGTAACATGCTAACAAATTTCTAAGAAAACATTTAATTATGAATACATTAATAAATTTTATGGCTACTGAATTTGCTTTGCTTAGCTTTTGTTTTTTTAGGCAATTTGAGCCCTAAATTTACATAAATTACCAAATATATTATTCCACAAACAAATTTTGTGTTTTTATAAATATTTACAGTTAGTCTTATTTTCTGAGATTGATTTTAAGTGTTTGTATGTGTCAGAGAATTAATTTTGTGTAGTATCAGAAGCTAAACATATCTGTCTGTGTCCCTTTGCATTTCCTTAGGTCTTTATTACTACAGTTTCCTTACCCCAAATAAGAAAACAGCGTTTGTTTTGCCTGGGTCCTTTTTTTTCATTTCACACTTTCTTAGGAAGAATTTCCTTTTGTTGTAAGCTTTCATAAAAAGCTTTCATTCCCCCCCCCCCTGTTATCTTTCTGTTTGTGTTAGGTTTCTTACAGCCATTCTACTACCTACAGCTTCTGTGGTCTTTAAAGGCCCAGCAGTGATTCCACAGTGAAGAGAAGTCTCAAGGGAAGCCTCAACCTTGAACGGTCTTCTGGCATCTCTGACCCCTGACAGGTTGATGTAAACAAACCCCGACTTGATGTCAGAGTTATAAAATGAAATCTAATAAAATGAGTTACTAAGTTGACCCTACTAGTTTCTTAATATGTTTCCAAGTATACAGTTACTTGAAAATAAATAATAAGTGATTGCTATGCCTCCAGTCAGGCATGTATAGTGATGTTTGTTATTATGGCTACACTCTGAACACTCATAGTGGAAAAAATTACACCCAAAATGTTCCCTAGATGTCAGCAGGGCAATGGGAGTTCCTATGATCTCCTCAATGCACATTCCTAAAATTAAAGAACAAAAGAAGGAAGTCCATGAAGAGTGCAGGTTGCTCAACAACACTACAATACTTGACACACAGGAGAACCAATACTTTAAGCGACATACCTTTCTCAAAAGTTTTCAAATGCAAAATGTATGATCCATGTTTCTTCTTTATGCCTGATGATGCGTCTCCGTCAAATTTCTTACTAAAGAGGAACCTAAGCATAACACTTTATAGCCGAAAAGGGTCCCTGAAAACTGAAAAAGTCCTCAGAGGTAGAAAAGTACTTATTTTTCAAAGTAAAGAGGAAACAAGTTCTGTGTTTTGTTTTCTTTCTATTTTATCAATTTTCCTTTATTGTATTATTTGTGTAATATTATATATTATATTGCAGTATTATTGTATTACATGTTCAGTATTATGACTTTGATAGACAACATCAACGCACCTAGAAATAACTACAAAAATGTCAAAAACTCAACTTCGACTATTCTATAAGTAAAAAAAGAAGAGTAGTGTGTGCCAATGCATTAATATACATTATTTTCCATTTGCCTACTTGCAAGTCATTCTGAATGAAGACCAAATAACAACTCATTGAAACATATGAGCAGACCACTGCGTAAACAGGAGCTTAAAAAGCTCCTCCTAAAATAGATGATGATGGAGTCCAGGAAAGTTCACAACACTAAAAAATCACAACTACAAATGCCCCAACAGCAGCTATTCTAGGCAGCTGCAGTTGTTTTTAGTAGTCAGAAAACAGATATCAGGCATCACCTGTCCCCACCTACTTTCAGAGTTTAACATCCAGACCATACAGAAGGATGAATGGAGTGAAACTTTTCAAGGCAGTGCCTTGTTTGTGAAATGAAAGGAGAGACCACACAGCATTATCTCGCTGACTTGAAATGGAGCCTCTCTCTCTGTTGACACTAAGTCAACTAGTGATATCACTGATCACTGAGAATTCCTTTTTTTTCTCTAATGCCTTTCACAAATGTCTGCACCTGTTCACCTATAGGCTTTGAGCACCTACCTGATAGACAGTTTGCAAAATAAAAGTTAGCTTCAGCTTGTAAAGTACATAAAGCTTCTGCATCATTTGATACCACAATTATTTTCAATTTCTTATCCTGAAAACCACTATCTTGGTACCCGTTTTTCACATCTGTCAGTAAACTCCAACTTAAAAGAAACCATCAGAAATGATTTCCTGCCTCTCATTCTCACAGTATATACTTCAGTTATTGCTATTTTCCCTAACCCCCAAGTGAGTGGTTGAGAACACTAAATTGTCACTATCAAAGATACTATCATCAATGCTTTCTGTACATCTTGGTTCTCAGACACAACATTCCTAGATTATAAGTGATTCTATTTCAACAGATGAGTATCTTTAGCTAGATCCTTCTGTTAAAACCACTGAAGAATCGGTATTTTGCAAAAAGAAAAAAAATTTGTGTTGGAGACTACACCAACCTACAGATATACAGTTACTGAATTCTTCTCATAAATACTTGTGTTCAACTGTTGTGGGAACAGCCCCTTTGGGGTGATGTCTCAATTGTCATGGATGGACTGGGAGCAAGTCCTGGCTCTCTTAGGTGGTGGTTGGAGAGCTGAGAGTAGCATCCTGTACTGCCAGGACAGAAGACCAAGACGGCTTTTTACCTTCATCGTGTAAGTTTACCTCAAATAAATATTTGATATTCTTTTATCCAGGTTATTTGTGAACTCCTTTACTCTACCTACATTCAACAATTTGCCATGCCAAATATTTCCTAAGATAATCTGCTCTAGGAAAGTTTACAGAGAGGAGTGGAAAAGAGAATTCAACTGGCTCTGAAGTATCTTTCTGGTTATCTGCAGAAGGATGTGTTCCAGAGTAACACACCAGACAGGAAGGATGCTGAAAGCAAGTGTTCCAGAGTAACACACCAGACAGGAAGGACAGGAAGGATGCTGAAAGCAAGTGCTACAGAGTAACTGAAAGCAAGTGTTACAAACTAGCACGCTAGAAAGGAGGAAGACTGAAACATGTACTAAAGGTGAACACAGCAGACAGGAAAGACATTGAAAACATGTTTCCGTGATGAAGAAAACAGTCATTCTCCATTATAGTATATCACAGTGATGTCTGTGTCATAGCCTGGTATTAGCACCTAGACTCTAAGTTTCCAGGCGCTTCCTAAAACAAGTACAAGAATGTTTTCTAATGAGAAACCTAGGAAGAGCCAAACAATACCAGTGCTCAGATACATTGAGGGAACTTTAAAGTGTTAAATTCTGAGGGATAGAGGCAGTAAAACCACAAAAGGTGGGGGACAATGCTTACAGAGAGTTAAAGTCCTTTCTTCCAAAATCCAGGTGAGGCTCACAGGCAGGTAGAACTCTGACATTTAATCTCCTTTAGATTCTACAACTGAGTGAACTCTTCCAAACCCAAGTTCAACGAGTCATTAAAGGATAAAACCAGAGGTCTGACATTTGTGCGAAAAAAATAAAAATAAAGGTAGCTGAAATGTCTGAGGGAAAATGAGAAAGGGAGTATGGCTGGAACCAAGTATGGTGTATAGTGAGAACCACTGATACAGACATCCCAAGATCAGAACATTTTGCCAAATTATATGAAAGCATTTATTCATTCAATAAGCATATGTGAGAGTTCTAATATGAGGAAGGCAGGAAGCACTGGAGAATCTAAGGATGGGAGAGTGAACGATGATGTAAGGGTACAAAAAGTACTGAGAGATTTTAAAGAAAAAGAAAGGACATCAGTTTTTATCCAGAAAAGAAAAGTGAGTCAATAATAGCAAATAAGAAGACATCAGGAAGGCTGTTGTGTGTGTGTGTGTGTGAGAGAGAGAGTGAGAGAGAGAGACAGACAGAGAGAGAGACAGAGAGAGAGAGAGAGAGAGAGAGAGAGAGAGAGAGGATTACTGATTTGCACATGGAAAAAAAAGTCAGGAAACTATCTGACAGCGTTGCTAAACATGAGAAAGGCACACAGCAGAGACTGCGAAAAGACTATGTAATTCATAGATGCCCCAGAAGGTCACTACTAGGACCAAGAGAGTGTGGGAAATAGAGAGAGTAAAGGCTTCCAGGGGCGGGGCAGGGGCTCCTTTGGGATGCTGGAAAAAGGAAATGGAGCTGCCAGAACACAGCCTGGGAAAGTTTGGGAGAAAAAAATAGCAAAAGCAAAACAGGTGTCCTGAAGGAGCCTTGAGGCCATCAGAGATGGCCGAAGTGTAGTTGGATTTAAGGCTGGAGCTTGGCAGCCAGACCTCAGGAAGAATGGGGTCTCATTCCTTCCCAGTGTTTCCCTTCTGCCTAACTAAGCCCAGAGGGTTGTGTCTCCCTGGGGGCTACTGGGAACCCTTGGCCGACCAGGATGAGGCCGGGTCGCCCCCCAGTGGCTGCGAGCTCCCAGAGCTCCCCTGCTAGCCCTGTTCCAACTTTGCCCATCCTTGTCCTCTGCTGAAGCTCAGAGCCCTCTCTCCCCAGCTCACCGAGGGCGCCGTCAGGAGACTGATGCTCTCGCCTAGGGAGTCCAGGTTGACCCTCCGGCGGCGCTGCGCCCTCTTGGACCCGGCGGAGGCATCAGCAGAGGCCGCGGAGGCGGCAGAGGCAGCGGGGACCGGGGTGGCAGCTGTGGCGGCCGTTCTGGAGCCGGCTGGCCCTGGTGGGCTCCGGCTGCCATTCCAGCAGAGCTTGGACAGGGGGCACTCCCCTTCCTCCTCCGGGCTGGTCTCCAGGTAGTCAGAGCCCAGAGAGCTGAAGGACTCTGATGAGATCTTCCTGCGAGACATGCTGCTGGAGATGCTGCTGCAGCCGAGGCCGAGGTGGCGGCGTTGGCGGTGGAGACGCGGCGGTGGCAGTGGAGGTTGGAGGACAGGCGATGGCAGCGTCAGGTGCGTTGGGGACGCTGGGCTCTGCGCTCGCGCTCTCCCAGACGAGAGTTTCCTGGGCTGCTGAACCCTGCGAGCCAGCTGCTCATGGCGGGAACTTGAGTCGCCGCAGCTCCTGGGGGTCGCAGGCTCGGCGATGACTCCGGGGATGCACAGGGGACCGGAGGAGGACCGCCACTGCTGCTGCAGCTGCTGTTTTCGCGGAGCAGTCTCAGCGCCCGCCCGTGAGCATCACTCCCGCTCCGGGGCTGCGGGGATCAGTGTGCAGAGGCTCCCCCGCCTTGCGTCTCCCCGCCAAGGCCCGCGTCCTCCGCCCCCTCAACTAGCGGAGCACCTCCCTCCTGCTCCCTTTATCTCTCCGCCCCGCAGCGCTGCCTCGGCCTGCATCACGTGTCGCCAGCATACTCATTGGAAGTCTCTGCTTCTCTAGTCGCCACGTTTCAGAAGCAACTAGGACACTTGGCTGCTGTTCTTTCTGTGCCTCCCCGCCCCCCTACCTCCGTGTCCTGCTACCAGGGATTTCCGGCAGTGGTCCCATAGGAACAAAGGTCCCGAGACCCAAATGTAGCGTCCCTTGGACTCTGAAAGAGCAGTTGGGCAGCAAACCCTCCCAAGGACTGACACTAGGGCAGGAGGGGACGGAAGGGCAGAGGGTTAGGAGGGACAGGGTGATCTCCCTCTGTATAAAACTGGAAACCTGACATGGGGCACTGGGACACACACACACACACACACACACACACACACACCTTGCCCAATTTTACAATTCTAGTTTATTTTGGAAGTTCAAATCAGTGGGATACACACACACACATACACACACAAACACACACCTTGCCCAATTCTAGTTTATTTTGGAAGTTCAAATCAGTCACCCCACTGTTTCAGTGGAGACACTCTCAAGTGAAGGGAAGGCTGGCCAGCGCGTGGAGATGATTTTCCTGTCTCCAGAGAAGCTCTGTGAGCAGTGAAGATAGTGTCAGCTTCAGCTACAGCCCTGTTGCTTTATGTGCCTGGAGCCGGTTGGTACTAGCTACTGCCACCTACAACTGTCTCCGTTTCTGTGCTGGACAGCTCCTCTTGCCACCTGTACCGAGTTTGTCAGGTGGTGACAAAATCTGATCAAGTCCTGTGCAGACTCTCGACCTGACCTGAAATCACTGGGCTTCTTGAGTAAGGCATGCATTTAGTTGATAAAAACAAGGGTAGTGGGAAGAAAGCCGATTCGTACAGAAGACTCTGGCAGTGAGTTTCAGCACAGCAGCTTCATTTCAAAGTTGTCTCATTGCAACCAGGCCCCAAGGCCCTGGCATAGCTCAAGGAAAGGTTTTGGCTTATTCTGAAATTAGAGTTGGCAATAGTGAGGAGGGGGCAATTGCAGTGACACAGAAAGGGAGTCGCAGACTTAGTTTCCCAGTACAGGGAAGCAACTGAGCACCTTCCTTGGCTTCCCCTGACCCGAGAAGATAAAGTTGAGGGGCTTTGGCTTTAACTCGAAGATCACAGAAGACAAAGCGGCTTTACTTTTACTTCCAAAGGACTTGTCCAGGTAAAGCCGATAGGTTTAAGTAAGCAGAGACCATTAGAAGCAAAGAAAACCTCAAAATTGTTACTGTTTCTCAACCCCAATTTGCTTTTAACTCTAAATCTTCCTAATTGTTCATGAGGACCCATATGAATGTGTTCCTTTTATAGTGTTCCTTTTGTACTTGGAAAAATCAGATCTTAAACGACCATTAAAGATATGAAATGATATTGTGTGCTATAATTAACTCACTTAAGTGCTCATTTATAATACATCTGTTATATACAGTTCCTCTGTATTCATAAACTCACAGAACCTGCTGTTATAAGCACAAGAACTGCACTAGATTAAAACTGTCAACATTCCAACATGGAAGGATTCATGAGTCCTCACACCCAGCTGAGGAACTATTAGAATGTGGATGACTTCTAGGGGATGGAGACTTGATTTCTTTTAAAGGAATGAACTATGTTATGCCCACTAAACTCCAATTGGTCACCCTGAGTATATGGGTAGCATAAAATAGACTTGTTATATACATGCTATGTTGCTGATATTATCATCAATAATATTATTTGGATTGTGTGTGTTAATGTATTTATTGTTAAGTTCATCAATGCATCAATTAATTCTCCATGTCTTTATCTTAAAAGTACATACTCACTCATGGTCTGGACTGTGTGAAATTATCCATGGCATACCTGATGCCACATAGCTAGGGTGGGCATAAGAGCAAAAGACAACCATCAGTTATCCAGGGTCCTCATAGTCTGGGCTACATGAAGGCATGCAAAAGCCTACCCAGTGCCTTGCATTGCCAGTGGTTGGGTTCCATTATGATAACCAAGTATATGGTGGAGAAATGGGAGAAAAAGAGAAGCAATATGGTTCATGTGTTGTCATAATGGCAGATTTGATGAAGCGAAGGTGGTGAGGAATGGGCTGATGGTGGCCTGTTTTATGGCCGCCATAAAACTTAGAAACTGATTACACTTTGCTCACAATTCTAAAACTCTTTTAGATGTATTTTTATTAATTCTTTGAAATTTTTGATCATATTCACACACACACACACTTTGCACTCTATAGATCCATTTCCCCATCTCTCTATCTCCTTCAAAATTCATGTCCTCTTTTTTTATTTTTTCCTGGGTTTTAAATGATTTTACTTGAGATAGAATTATATCAATTCTGTTTCTTCTCCTCTCTCCAGTCCCTCCAAGCTACACTCACTCCAACCCATGAAGACTATGAGGTCTATTTTATGCTACCCATATACTCAGGAATGTGGGCAACCGATTGGAGTTTAGTGGACATAACAGAGCCCATTCCTTTAAAAGACATCAAGTCTCCATCCCCTAGAAGTCATCCACATTCTAATAGTTCCTCAGCTGGGTGTGAAGACTCATGAGTCCTTCCTCATTGCCAAAAGACAAAAAACAATCTCACCACCAACAACAAATACAGTGCTAACAAGAATCAACAATCAATGGCCATTAACTTTCCTTAATATCAATGGTCTTAATTCACCTATAAAAAGAGACAGGTTAACAGAATGGATATGAAGACAGAATCCATCCTTCTGCTGCATACAAGAAACAAATCTCAACTTCAAGACAGATGTTATCTCAGAGCAAAGGGCTGGGAATGAAATAGACCTAAGAAACAAACTGTTGTAGCAATCCTAATATCTAACAAAATAGTCTTCAAATTAAAATCAAGAGGAAGGAACAATTCTGAATATCTATGCTGCAAATAACATGCACCCATGTTTGTAAAAGAAATATTACTAAAAGTCAAATCACATATGAAGACCCACATATGTATAGTGGGAGTCTTGAATACTGCACTCTTACCAAGGGATAAGACTATCAGACAGAAATTTAAAAAAGACGTAAAGGTACTAACAGAAGTTAGGACTCAATTGGGTTTAACATCTATAGTACATTCCATCCAAAAACCAAAGAATATACCTTCTTTGCAGCATATCTAAAATTGACCACATACTTGACAACAAACAAATCTCCATAGATACAAAAAATTATGATAACCCCCTGCATCTTATAGAATCACCATACTTTAAAGTTAGAGGTCAACAACAACAAAAATCGCAGAAAGCCTACAAACTTAATGGTAATTGAACAATGCTTAATTGCATTTCTGGTGAGTCAAAGAAGAAATGAAGATATTAAACAATATATCAGAAAATGAAAAGTTATTCCATACTCTTGGACAGGTAGGATCAACATAGTAAAGATGGCAATCTTACCAAAAGCAATCTACAGATTCAATGCAATCCCCATCAAAATTCCAGCACAATTATTCACAGACCTTGAAAGAACAATACCCAACTTTATATGAAAAAAAAAAACCAGGATAGTCAAAACAACCTGTTTCAATAAGGGAACATCTAAAGGGCCCACTATCCCTGGCTTGAAGCATTACTATTCAACTGTACTAAATAAAATACCTTGACATTGGCATAAAAACAGACAGTAAACCAATGGAATTTAATTGAAGACCCTGATATTAATCCACACATTTATGCAAACCTGAATTTGATGAAGAAGCTGAAATTTTACAATGAAAAAAGAAAGCATCTTCAACAAATGGTGCTGGCATAACTGGATGCTGACACGTAGAAGATTTCAGATAGATCCATATCTACTGTCATGCATAAAACTTAATTCCAAATGGATCAAAAACCTCAACTTTAATCTAGCCACAGTTAACTTCTTAGAAAATAAAGTGGGAAGAAGCTGTGAATGCAGTGGCATAGGAAATCACTTCCTGAACATAACAACAGTAGCACAAAAACTGAGATCAACAATTAATAAATGGGACCTCATGAAACTAAAAAGCTTCTGTAAGACAAAGGACTCATTCAATAACACCTCATTTACAGAGGGCTCGTTTTCACAATATACAAATAACTCAAGAAGCTAGTCACCAAAGCACCAAATAATCCAATTAAAAAGTAGGGTGCAGAACTAAATAGCAAATTCTCAATAGAGGAATCTAAAATGGCTGAGAGGTACTTAAGAAATTTGCTCAGCATTCTTAGGCAGCAGGGGAATGCAAATAAAATACCCCTGAGAAACCATCACACCTGTCAGAATGGCTAAAATAAAAAACACCAAGTACAGTTTACGCTGGAGAGGATGTAGAAAAGGGGAACACTCCTCCATTGCTGGTGGGAATGGACACTTGTAGAGCCACTTTGGAAGTCTATATGGTGGTTTATCAGAGAAATAGTAGTCTACCTCAAGATCCAAAAATTCCACTCTTAGGTATAAACCCAAAGGATGCACTTTCATACCACAAGGACATCTATTCAACTATGTTCATACCAGCATTATTTGTAATAGCCAGAACCTGGAAGCAACCTAGGTAACCCCTAACCTAAGAATGGATAGAGAAAATAAAGAAAATGTGGTACATTTACACATTGAATTACTGCTCAGTGGGGAAAAGTAACATCTTGAAATCCACAGACAAATCAATGTAACTAGAAGAAATAATCTTGAGTGAGGAAACCAAGACACACATGCACACACACACACACACACACACACACACACACACACACACACGGTATATACTCATTCATAAGACATAGAGCAAAGGATAACTAGCACACAATCTAGAGAAGTTCTTTAATGCAGAGAAGCTAGGAATCAAGGAGAACACTTAGAGAGACATAGATGGAATAGATGGACACCTGGAGAATGGGAATGGACAATATCTCCTGAGTAAAGTGGGAGCACGATGAGGG